TGTTCAAAAGCATGGGGGACAAAATCGAGCCCTGCGATACACCATGGGAAAGGTTTCATGGCACCGACCTATGGTCCCCCAGCACCACCTTCTGGAATCGACCAGCCAGACAGATAGGAGTGGAACCACAGCCATGCAACAAAAGAATATTTGGGCAGAGGGGTGTGTAGATGAGAGACAGATTAAATGTCATCTGAAGGGAACTATTTGGTCAAAGTATTAGTGTGCAGTCCTATGCAAGTTTAGACAGAAAAGAGTCCGAAACTTTCTATATGTTGGGTATTGCTAAATGACTATTTTGCTGCTAAATGACTATTTTGCCTCTGTGTTCTCCCCACAGCAGGACAGGGGGCATCCGCATAGGAGATTAGATGATGCCAGGGACTTAGGGGCACAGAATAGAGTCACCCCGCTAGAAGTCAAGGGGCTCCTCTGGGCATTGGATGTTACAAAGGTGCCAGGCCCTGATGGGTTAAACCCGAGAGTACTTTGAGAGTTGACCTTGTGGAGAACGGGTGAAGTTCCAGAGGACTGGAGGGTGGCATCAGTGGTCCCAGTTTTCAAAAAGGGTAATAGAAGGGACATGGGGAATTACAGACCAGTTAGCCTTATGTCCATTGTAGGAAAAACAATGGAAAGGCTCATAATAGAGAGAGATCTTGTGATGCTAGATAGGGAAGGGAGGCTGGTGGCCACACAACACCATTTCTGCAAAAACCAGTCCTGCCAGACAAACCTTGTGGAATTCTATGACAAGGTTTCGAGATGGCTAGATGGAGGGTATGCAGTGGCTGTGGTTTACCTGGATTTCAGCAAGGCCTTTGACAAAGTGCCCCATGATATCCTGGTTGAGAAACTGAGGAGTTTTGGGATACACCAAAGCACTGCCCAATGGATTAGGGCATGGTTGACTGACTGAAAACAGAGGGTAACCATTGGTGGGGAATCATCAGGATGGTGGCCAGTGACAAGTGGGGTCCCCCAGGGCTCTGTCCCAGGGCTGATCCTGTTTAATCTTTTTACCAACAACATGGAAGAAGGGGTGAACAGTATGCTGATCAAATTTGCAGACGATACTAAAATTGGGGCAGTATCCACAACTGAGGAGCAGGTACTCAAGATCCAAAAGGATCTGGACAGACTATGTGGGCAGGAGACAACAGGACAGCGTTCAATGTGGATAAGTGCAAGGTCTTGCACTTGGGGCATAGGAATAGGTGTCATAAGTACAGGTTTGGGGACAAGTGGCTGGAGAGCAGCACTTGTGAAAGGGACCTCAGGCTGCTGGTTGACTGCAAGCTAAACATGAGTGAGCAATGTGATGCGTTGGTTAGGAGGGCGAATGCCACCCTTGGTTGCATAGCCAGAAGTTCTAGATCGAGAGAGGTATTGCTGGCACTCTATACAACTCTGGTGCGCCCACAACTGGAGTATTGTGCTCAGTTTTGGGTCCCTCATTACAGGAAGGATATAGCCAGGTTAGAGTCAGTGCAGCACAGGGCCACAAGGTTGGTGGCCAGTTTGCAGGGGATGTTGTATGAGGTAAGACTGAGGGAACTGGGTCTCTTCAGCCTGGAGAAGAGAAGAATCAGAGGGGATCTATTGATGACATACAGGTATGTGAGGGGGTGTCACACGGAGGTGGGTAGAGACCTGTTCTCCCCTGCAGAGGAAGGCAGGTCCAACAGAGCAAAGCTCAGGGAACCAAGGTTCCATTTAGATGCCAGGAAGCACTTCCTGACAGTTAGGACCCCAAGGGTATGGAATGGGCTTCCACAGGAGGTGGTTGAGGCCCCATCATTGAGGGTGTTTAAAGATAGGCAGACATGCACATGGTGGGCATGTCATGAGCAGAGCCAGCTGGAGCCAGGGCTCAGACTAGATGACCCGGAAGTCCCCTTCTGACTTGCTGTTCTATTTCCATGTATTATAGGCCTCTCTTCTGTCTAAACTTGCATGGGATTGCCCATTTAGTAACAAGTAAAAGGAATCTAAGTGGGTTACAAATCATCTGAACTGAATCCTCCTTTTCCCCCTAGCTATTGCCATGTTGTGGTCGGGAGCAGCAGGAGCCTCACTTGAGGTGATGGGAGTCCAGTTTTTTTAAAAAATATATTTTTTCTGCCACCCAACAGCTGAAGCTCTCTTGGCAGTTCACAACATTATATTAAAAAAAATACACCATTAAATACCATCAAAACATCATCAAACTTAACAGTACAAAATTTAAAACCAAATTTGAAACAACAACACTATAATAAATGAAGAAGACGCTATTAAGCCCTCTTTAATATGCAGACCAAGTAGAGCAGGTTTTATATCTTGATGTAAATGATCAAGACACTCTTAACTGCAGCTGAGCAATTCACATTGGCCATAGTTCTAGCATAAAGCTATTAGAGATTTTGTTGTATAAGTAAAAAGAGAGTTGCGTGTTTATACAAATTTCCAGACTAAATCTTCTAAGGAGGATTCTCATTTTTCTTGCAAAGTAGAGCTTGCAGAGGCTTTAGGGGAAATTGAAAGAACTCCTGGAGACCGTTTTAACAAGGTGTGCAGCTTGGTTGGTGGCATACTTATACATTCAAGATTCAAGGGTGGCATCTCAAGCCAGTGTTTCTGCACTTAAGGGCATTACTGGAGAAAACAAGAATGGGTGAAATACCCTAAGATTTTTCTACTGCTAGAAAAGTGGAATCTGTTAGCTGATCTGGGAGCACAGGTGATTTCAGCAAGCCCTGCAAGATGTAACCGGAAAGCTTGGGAGACAGTCTGGAGCAGATCTGCGCATTGATTGCAGGGGGAAGAGAGGAGAAAGTAGCTGGATTTCATTCATTGCTGTCCAAGTCTAAAAGTAAAATCTTTTCTCCACAGGAACATGAGGATATCACCAAAGAATTTAACATTGGATCCAGTTCCTCTTCCTCCAGTTCTGATCTTGCTGAAGCTCATCAACAGAAGAGGACCGCTGCAATTCGGCACTCTTTTCCTCATTTTGTTTCCTCTCGTTCTCATTCTTCTCGTTCACCTTGTTCTCGTTCTCCTCTTCCTTTGGATTTTTTTGGTAGTTCTCTTCCTGTTCGCCCACCTAGTGGTGTTTGTTTTTCTCCTCGTCCTCCTCCTCCTCCTCCTCATCCTCCTATTCCTTTTATTCGACCTTGTTTTGCTTCTCCTGCTGCTCCATCATCAGCAAAAGAGAGCAGACCTTCTTCCATATCCACACTTCACCGGCCATCCATGCAAATTGGAGCTCGAAGGAATTCCACTTTGCAGGTAATCTGCCCAGCTTCTAACATGGGGGAATTTATTTCACTGTTTGTTTGTTTGTTCGTTTGTTTGTTTAAAACTTTTTTTAGACTGCCCTTTACCATAGTCTCGGGACGGTTTAACATTAAAACATGATAGAATAAAACACAGCATCCTAATCAATTCCTAACAATAAAATCCATACTAAAATAACAGTCAAACCTTAAAATATTGGGAAAATAAAATGGTTTTAGCCTAGCGCCGTAAAGGAGAAAGTGACGGTGCCAGGCAAACTTTTCTGGGGAGCATATTCCACAATTGGGGCACCAACACAGATAAGGCCCTTCTCCGGGTCATCACTTTCCTAATCTCCTTCAAGGAGGGCTCCCAGAGAAGGACCTCAGCCCCAGATCTTGATGGGCGGGCAGGCACTTACGGAAGGAGACACTCCTTTAGGTAACCAGATCCTAAGCCCTTTAGGACTTTGTTAGGTCATGACAACACCCCAAGTACCTTCAGGGCCTGGTGCCTTTGTAATGTCCAGTACCCTGAGGAGCATTTTGGCTTCTAGGGGGGTGACTCTAATCTGTACGCCTAACTGACCAGCCTCACCTGGCCCCTCACGTAGATCTCCCCCCACCTGCTTTGGGAAGAAGAGAGAGGCAAAATAATCATTTAACAACTGTGCCTGTTCTCTCCCATCAGTCACTGAATCCTCTTTCTCCTTATTAAGCAGTCCCTCTTACCTGAAAACTCGAACTGTCCACCAAAAGGACCTCTGTCTTATCTGGATTGAGTCTCAGTTTATTGGCCCTCATCCAGCCCATGACCTCGGCCAGGACAGCCACTGCCTCACCTGGTAATTATATTACCCCTTTCCATTCAGGATGCGAAAGACTACCAACAAGACGATTTGATGGATGCTTTGGAACTTGTAGCCAAGGAGGATGGAGACTTCTTACCTTATATGCAGTATCTACCAACAACACAAGGAGCTCCTTGCCAGCCTGATGTAAATGTGCGCCGATTATTTTTTTCTCTATATTTATTTATTTAAAACGTTTATATCCTGTCCACTACCAAGGTCTC